CTCGTAATCTTGCTCAGCCCATCGCTGCGCGCGGCCAGGCCACCGACGCCCCCGCGGCCGGCGGGAAGTGTTTCTGCCCGCGGGGACCCTGCTGCTTGTGACCCCGGCCGCCCCGGGGCCCTCCCCGGCGGCGCAGTCTGGCTCCCACGTCCTCGAGAATTTGGTGCAACCGAGGAACGCAAGACAGGGTTAGAATCGTTGGCCAGGGGTTACGGCTGCAGAGACAGACGCATGGATGGGGAGAGACCTGAGTGTAGCTGATGGGTGGGCTGATGGGGGCAGGAAACCCGCTTTGAGGAGAAGAAGGGATGTGGGGTGAGCGCGCCGGTCCGTAGCAGCCACCTTGCGTCAGGAGGCCAAGATGCTCGTCCCTACACTGAGCCTCTTGGCTGTGTGCCATTGTCCTCTAGCTTTGCCGTGTCCGACTGAGCGGACCCGGGCCCAGTCCTAACAGGCAGCAAACCCGTCGCCGTGTTCTTAGGTTCTCCTGAAAGTGGAGCGCACACCTGGATCGGATCCGGGTCCTTTATTTGCCCGCGGGGACGGCCAAAGCCGACCGAGCTACCTGTTCTTGGTGGCGGGCTGTCAAGCCTCCGTCTTGGGGGTCTACAGAGTCATCCTGGGGAGCGGGCCGCGCCTGCCTTTTCCTGCGCGAGGACGCCCTTCCCCGGCGCCCGGACGGCGCAGGACGCCCGTCGCGTGGGAGACGCCCATCCCCGCGGCCACCCGCAAGGGGACAACCGTGAGTGCCGGTTTCTCCTCCCGCAAGGTGACAGAGACGGGCAGAGGTACCCCACCGCACCCCCGGCCGCCGCGGGGGCAGGAGGCCGAGAGCGCCACGCGCACGATGCCCGCGGGGCCGGGCTGGCGCGGCCACGCCCTCAGCGCGCGCCTGGGTCCGTGTCCACACCGCCCGCGCCGCGCCCGACCCGCGGGGACACCCGTGTCCCTCCGCGTCCTCTGGGAGGGTCGGGGTTGGCCCCTCCCACAACGCGGCTCCTCGGCTCCCGGGCGCCAAAGCCTCCCGTCCGCGTCCTCCCTCCCGCGGGCGCCCCGGAGCGCGGACCCCGACCCCGACCCGCGCGCGCTGGTGTGCGCCCCGCGCAGGGCGCCGCCGGGTCCGCGAGTCCGCGCTCCGCTCCCCGGCGAGGTCGCGCGTCTGCAAGGCAGCGTGTCCCCGCGCAAGTGCGGTCGGCCGCAGCTGGTGTTTGCGCGAGACATGGTTTAGCATTATATATCTACGAGAGCCACTCTGAGAGAGCGGCGTGCTGCTCAGGAGGAAGACGATTTCTTCTTCTTTCTCCAATATATATCCAAGCTTGTAATCCTAGACTCAGGTTGACCTTGCGCCTCGCAGCGGTTCGGCAGGACACCTCGCTCACATCCGTCAGCGTCAGCTCGAACCGCAGCCTGAGTGCCCTCCACTGCCCTGAGCCGGGTCTCCCTGCCTCTTACTATAAACATATCTTGTCCATATCGAATTTCACTTTTCGTCGCCAACTCATACACACTCTATCATTACGATAAAACATTACATCTAGCTCATCGGCCTATCGCTCCGTGCCCGTCATCCTTCTCTCTCTCTCCTCTCTCTTTCCTTATCGTTTCGTCTCTCTCAGTCTTAGCTTTCTCTACTTTCGTGTAATTCGCTAAGGCAGCTTTCGTATGGTCTTCATTGCATAGTTCTCATCGTCGATGCTCTGTTATTATCAGTTTCTTTCTCTGGTACGATACAAATTGCCGCTATAGGCACCCCTACTTCTTCCTTCCTCTTCACATTCTAATTCTGCATGTTCTTTTATCACTGCCTAATCCTAACTTCCTTCCATATCACCTATTCGTATCAGATATCAACTGCAGCTCTCCGGTTCGCCATCTATCCTTCCTTTTCCGGTTGGTCGCCTTCCTATGTCGTCTGCTAGTCCCCATTGCTTCCTGCTGGTGAGGGCTGAGGCAGAGGACTCTGTTCTGCGCCAGGAACTCTTGAGGTTGCTGTGAGGCTCTAGGCTGTACTGCACGGCACTCTTAGCACTCATTCTTTTCCTGGTCTTCCTATTCCTTCTTCCTTCCTTCCTTCCTTCCTTCCTTCCTCTTCGGCTTGTACAGAGGCATGTACCTTCTCTGTCTATCAATATAACATCATCATCTCTTTCTTTCTCTGTTTTCTTTCTCTCTGGACATTTCTTCTATTCTTCTTCTTTTATATATACCTATATATTATATATGAAATTTATACAGCTTGTTTGCTCAAATCTCCTGTCTTTGCGTCTCTCATGTCCTTTACATCTGCGTTCTCCACTGTCGCATCCCTCTCATCTTTATCCTCTTTCTCATGGCTCCTTTCTATGCTTCGTTATTTCTTTCTTTCTGTCCTTATTGTCTCGCCGACATCTCTGTGCAACCACGTTCTATCGCCATTTGTTGTTGCACACTCTGACTTTCAAAGTCGGGCGTTATAGATGTGATTTGAAAGTAGAGATCGATGGCTAAGTCTTTAGAGACCTGCGGCTATCCAGGTGACGCAACCTGACATAATCTGGGCTCCAGCGACCATACCTTGTCTAGCCTTTCGCTCAGCTCCCGAGTAGCGTGGCAGAGGTCGACTTGATACAAGACCACTCGTCGCTGGACAAGGAATTCAGCCGGATCTGCTAGCTAGATGCCTTTAATGGATACCTCGTGTATTATCGCTATTGAGATGATGGGGCAATTAATTTCTTTCTATTTTTTTTTAGTAGAGACGGGGTCTCACTCTTGCTCAGGCTGGTCTCGAACTCCGGAGCTCGAGCGATCCTCCCGCCTCGGCCTCCCAGAGTGCTGGGATGACAGGCGTGAGTCAACGCGCCCGGCCACAGGATGATGTTTTTGCCCAAACTCCCCTCAGTGTGCACTTAAAACAGGGGCGTAGGACTGCGTGTGCCTCCTGCCTCAGCACAGTGGATTTTCCAGAGAGCTCCGGGATTCTATTTCTGACCCTGGGTTTGCGCAGCCGGCCGGCCCGCAGGACGGGGTCCCGACTCGGGCTGAGGCAGACGAGGACCAGGGGCGGCTGAGACTTGGGGGCAGTGACTCAGGGTTTCCGCCCTCCCTCCTCGCTGGCCTCGTCCACATCCTGTTCCCTGTGGGCGCCTCCGGGAGGACCCAAGACTCAGCGTGCGCCCTGGAGCAGCGGCAGGGCCACTGGCGGGGGGCAGTGTCGGGGTGCTGGGTGTGGGGCTAGTGAAGCCCACAGGCCGGTCTGCCGCCCTCGTCTACACTGCAGGGGGCTTCCTAGGGCAGCAGGGAGTCTGCCGAGACACCAGTCCTTCCGCTGTCTGCTGGGGACCCCGTGAGCACAGAGACACAGAGACAGAGAGAGATACAGAGACAGAGAGAGAGAGAGACAGAGAGATGCAGAGACAGAAAGAGAGAGAGGGAGAGACAGAGAGACAGAGACAGAGACAGAGAGAGATGCAGAGACAGAGACAGACAGAGACAGAGAGAGACAGAGGGACAGAGAGAGATACAGAGGCAGAGACAAAGAGGGAGAGACAGAGAGAGATGCAGAGACAGGGAGAGACAGAGAGGGAGAGACAGAGAGACAGAGACAGAGAGAGACACAGAGAGATGCAGAGATAGAGAGAGACAGAGAGGGAAACAGAGACAGAGACAGAGAGAGACAAGCAGAGGCAGAGAGATAGAGACAGAGATATAAAGAGATGCAGAGACAGAGAGATTCAGAGATAGAGATAGAGAAAGACAGACAGAGATGCAGGGACAGAGAGAAGCAGAACGACAGAGATGCAGAGGCAGAGACAGAGACAAACAGAGACAGAGAGAGATAGAGACAGGGAGAGACAGACAGAGAGAGACAGAGAGATGCAGAGACAGAAAGATATAGAGATACAGAGATGCAGAGAGAGACAAAGATAGAGACAGAGAGAGATGCAGAGACAGAGACAGAGACACAGGCAGAGAGAGGGGAGACAGAGCTGGGAACATGGGCATACACAGCTCGCGGTGACTCAGTTTCTCCCAAGGTCCGTGCACGAAGCGTCCATGCAAAAGGGACAGGCGTGTGAGTGTAGCTGCGCCCCGGCTGTGGCTGCGGGTGTGGGGAGTGGGGCCGGGGTAACGAGCCGAGCGTCACTCCCGGGAGACGGCGCACGGAGTCATCCGAACTTCATCCAGCCCTGGGTTTATTCAGTCCAGTAGCTGCCGTCGGGGTGGAGACTGGGGGGTGGGGAGAGAGAACCCTCTGGAAAGGGTCAGAGAGGTTGCAGACACGTGTGGGCCAAACGCAACCATGCTCACCCTGGACCCCGGATGCCAACGGACCCGTCCCAGAGAGACGGGGGACTGAATCCCAAAGGACCTGCGTCAGGCATTGGGGGACTAGTTGGCGCTGTGGCTGGGACGTCTGTCCCCCCAAAACGCACACTGAAAGCCGATCCCCGAGAGGCGGCACTGAGACGCGGGGCGGCCGTGAGGAGACCGGGCGCCTTCACAAATGGATTAATCCACTCGGGGATTACGCACTGATGGGATCACAGGATGGGAACTGGTGGGTTTGAAAGAAGAGGAAGAGAGACGTGAGCAAGTGTATCAGCCCCTCACCATGTGGTGCCCAAGCTGCCTTGGGACTATTTTCCACATGGTGGACACAATAACGTCCCCAGAGATGTCCACATCCTAATCCCATGTGGTAGACAGAATAACGTCCCCAGAGATGTCCACGTCCTAATCCCATGTGGTAGACAGAATAACGTGCCCAGAGATGTCCACGTCCTAATCCCATGTGGTAGACAGAATAATGTCCCCAGAGATGTCCACGTCCTAATCCCATGTGGTAGACAGAATGACGTCCCCAGAGATGTCCACCTCCTAATCCCATGTGGTAGACAGAATAACGTCCCCAGAGATGTCCATGTCCTGATCCCACGTGGTAGACAGAATGATGTCCCCAGAGATGTCCCCGTCCTAACCGCACGTGGGTGCTAACAGGGAGGATAGACCCCTGAAATCCTACAACACAGGTCATTGTTCACGGGGCAGCCTGGCCGGCACCTTCCGTGATCACATTTGAAGGGGAGGGCGTGACCCCTTATCCTGCAAGCGTCTCAGCCACATAACGCAGTTTTTTTTTTTTTAAGAAATAAAAAAAGCGTAGAAAACCCGTGTCACGGCTCACAGCGCTGACACCAACACCAAGAGACAAATAAACTTCCAGAATGTCCTGGGCATGGAGAGCCGCGTCCGCCTGCTTCACAGGCCGTCCGAGGGCCGTGGGACTTCTTCCACGGACAAGACCTCTTCGGGGTCCCCTTTTCCTGCCCCCGGCGTGAACTCCGCCCAGGTGATCTGCGGAATAGAGGAGAGCCGTGAGTGTCGGGTCTCCGTGTTGCCTGCGTGCTCGGGCGGTTGCTCTTCCCGGGTACAGAGATGTGTGACAGGGTGTCCGAGCGCGTGTGCGCGTGTGTGTGTGTGTGTGTGTGTGTATTTGAGGTTGCACGGTGAGCGGGGTGGCCTTGGGGAGGCTTGTGAGTGCGAATCTCTAGCTGAGGCTGGCATGTGCAAAGGCCCTGCGGTTGCTCAGAGCTCAGCAAGGCGGGAAAAGGATGGAGGAGGCGTCTCGTCCTGGTGCCTGGACCCGGCGGGGGTTGGAGGGGAGGAAGAGGCTGGTCTGCAGGCTGAGGGTGATGGAGCGAGACACGCGGGGTGCAGGCTGGGCGTGAGGGGCCAGGGGGAAGCGCAGTGGGCAGGACAGGGATCCAGCCCCTCCGTGCCGTCGAGGGCTCTGTCTCCCATGGGGCGGGGGTGCAGGAGATTTCGGGGATGCCCGCTCGCTCCCTGCCCCTCCCACCTTCCCCCGAAGCTCTCCCCTGGCCCTCCCGGGGTCACCCACCTGGTGGCTGTCGCTCAACTTGTCTTTGATCTGGGGGACCGGGGGGAACAGCGTCTGCACCCGGAGGAACCTGGGAAGACAAACACGGAGCGTGAAGACCGCCGCCGCCACCTGATGGAATAGCTCCGCGCACACGCGCCACGTGAGCCCGCCACGTCCCACAAGGACCCCACACAGAGTCACCCAAGAGCTGACATCGCACGGACCCAAGAAATCCAGACGTGCAGCGAGAGCCAGTCATGCCAAGGAGGACTCCTTCTAGAATCTTCCCCCCGGGGTGCACACGGGCAGCTTCGGGGTGTCCGGGGACCGCGGTGTGGACGGTCCGAGGTCCCGTGAGTCAAGCGTCTGCCCTGCTCCCGCCCAACCTAGAAGAGCGTGGGTTTCCGGTTTCCCCGCGGTTTTTTGTTCCTGTTTTCTGAGTTGCTGCCTTGCCCGGTCATTCAAGAACCCTTGTTCACCCAGGACGCTTTGAATTTTTTTTTGCCGATGTCACAGTCTCGTTGCACATTTTTTAAAAAAATTTTTTAAAGTTCTTTCTTTTCTTTTTTTTTTTTTTGCAAGAAGTCTCTATGTAGAAGAAAGCGTGTTGCATTTTGAACGGGGCGTTTGCTGTCGTCCTTTCTGCAGAGAAAGCCCCTCTGATTCCACAGTATGGGTGTTTGTGCCCGGCTCTGCAGCGTCCTGCAAAAGATCTGCCCACGTCCCAAGTCTCCCTGTCTGGGGCCTCGTTTGGAAACAGGGTCTCTGCTAATGTAATTAAGAAACAGATCTTGAGATGAGACCGCCCTGGATCAGGGAGGGCCCTAAATGCAGCGACAGGCGTCCTCGAGAGAGACGGCAGAGGAGACACAGACTCGGAGGAGAAGCCACGTGGAGGCAGACGGAGGAGGCAGAGGCAGAAGTGAGGCTGCCGCCACAAGCCCAGGGACACCCCTGAGAGTCCCCGGGAGCCAGGAGAGGCGGGAAGGAGCCTCCCCTGGAGCCCGTGGAGGGAGCGCGGCCCCGAGACTCCCGCGTCCCACACTCCCGGGCTCTGGGACTCAGGGAGGGGACACGCCCCTGAATAAAATGAGCACAGGACGGCAAACCTGGACGGACGGGGCCGTTGGCATGGGCCACAGGTAGATGTTGAGACGGTTCCCACACCCCTGCAGGAGCGGATAGCTGCAAAACCGCCCGCACTTTGGAAAGCCCGCTGAGCGGCGTGGGCACGCCGCCGATTGCAGGGCTGACAGGTCCGAGGGGTCTGAGCCTGCAGGCTGGGAGCTACTGGAGGCGGGGAACATTCCGGAAAGAGGGAAGCAGACAGAGCCTCGGTGGGGTGGTGGGTGCTGCTGAGCTCAGCACAGTCTCGTGTCCGGAGGAACTGAGCAGTCGGCACAGTCGAGCGCCTCTCTGAGCACGTGTCCGGGCGCGTGGATCAGCGGCCACCTTCAAGCCCTGTGACCGGCTCTCACGCTTGGAATCCACGGCGTGGCCTGTCCATGAGCTTCCCGGATCTTCCGGAGCTGCTCACGGCCGTTTGCATTTTTCTGCGTGCCTATTTGACCCCTGTGCAGCTTCCTTCCCTGACGTCAGACCGGGGCGAGGAGGAAGGGAGCAGGTGCGGAGTCTGGGGGTGTCACCGAGGGGCAGGCGGCACTAGGAGATGCTACGTCCACAATAGGAGGAAGAAGCCGACCAGAGGGGGCTTCCAAGGGGGGACAGGTGGCAGGTCCAGGGGCATGTCCCAAGGACTGGACAGGGGTCTGGTTTACAACAGGGGGTCTCCAAGCACCGACCAACCGGAAAGAGGCAGGAAGGCCACAGAGTGGAGACATGACCAAGGCCACCAAAGAGGGTCGGTCTCTGGAGCGTGAGCACAAGCAAGGTGACAGTGTCCTCAAGTGACCCGCCCCCACTGACACTGTCAAAACCACACCCGTGACACTTCACAAATACCATGGCAACCCCCGGAAATTGCCTTACACGCTTATAAACGGGGAGGGCTCCCAGTTCCAGGAATTCCCCGCCCCTTTCCAAGAAAATTCATGAATATTCTACGCCGTAATTAACATGTTATTAGGGAATTAGCATAAAAAACATTCCCGGACCCTGGGGTGTCACTGTTTCTCACTGCAGCGGTCCGATCTCTACTGACTTGGAGAGTGCCCCGTGCTTTCCGTCTCTGCTTTTTATTTTATTTATTTATTTTTTTTTTGAGGCAGAGTCTCACTCTGTCGCCCGGGCTAGAGTGAGTGCCCTGGCGTCAGCCTCGCTCACAGCAACCTCAGACTCCTGGGCTCAAGCGATCCTCCTGCCTCAGCCTCCTCCCGAGTACCTGGGACTACAGGCACGTGCCACCATGCCCGGCTATTTTTTTTTTTTATATATAGTTTTAGTTGGTCAATTGATTTCTTTCTATTTTTAGTAGAGACGGGGTCTCGCTCGTGCTCAGGCTGGTCTCAAACTCCTGACCTCGAGCGATCCTCCCGCCTCGGCCTCCCAGAGTGCTGGGATGACAGGCGTGAGCCTCCGCGCCCGGCCTCTTCTCTGTCTGTAAACTCGGGGTCTCCTCCGCTGGCTGGGGTGGACCCGCTCTCTCTCTGGAATGTTCTCCGCCCTCGTAATCTTGGGCACTGTGCCTGCTCGGCGCGTCTGCTTGGTCTGCCCATTTGCTCGGTTGTCGTGGTTACCGGCAACCATTCTTCTGCACCGAGAATGGGGGGGACCCTGGACCTGACACGTGGTCCCCACACCGGCCCCTGCCCCAGACAGGCTCTCCGTGCCCGCAGACCCAGCGCACGACCGCCAGGCTCACTGTGTCTTTGCGAGAGAGACGGACGGAGGGTGCAATGCCCCGGGGGACGCCAGGGTGCTGGGGGCGTTACCTTTTAAAGAGGAAACCGAGTCCCAGGGCAGTGAGGAGGGTGCCCAGCACCACCAGCAGGTACAGGAGCAAGAGGCTGCTGCCGGCATCCTCAGACCCTGCGGAGAGAGACAGGGGACAGGCGCTGGTCTGTGGGGAACGGGGGGAACACGCAACACGCGGCCGGCTCTTCCCTCTCCCGGTCCTGGCGGAGAGAGGAGGAGCTTTCCTGCTCCCAAAGGGGGAGCCCAGACTCTCGGGGACCGGCGGGGCCGGCAGCGTGAGCACCCCAAACACGCCCGGTGCTCCGAGCTCAACGCCAGAAAGACAAACCACACCGCTGGAAATTGGGGTTGAAAAACGGGAGAATGGCCGGGCGCGGTGGCTCACGCCTGTAATCCTAGCTCTCTGGGAGGCCGAGGCGGGAGGATCGCTCTAGGTCAGGAGTTGAAGACCAGCCTGAGCAAGAGCGAGACCCCCTCGTCTCTACTATAAATAGAAAGAAATTGATTGGCCAACTAAAAATATATAGAAAAAATTAGCCGGGCATGGTGGCGCACGCCTATAGTCCCAGTACTTGGAGGTGGCCGGGAGAGTCGCTTGACGCCAGGAGTCGTCGAGGTGCTGTGAGCGAGGCTGACGCCAGCCTCACTCTAGCCTGGGTGATGACAGGTGAGAGCTCTGTGCTCAAAAAAAAAAAAAAAAAAACAAAAAAGGCAAAGACCAGCCCAATGCACTCAAAGTTCGCAAAAGAAAAACACGGAGGAATAGGGCAGAAAAAATTTGAATAGAGACTTGAGCTGCAGTCTTTTTTTTTTTTTAATTTTATTCTCGAGGATAATTTTTAAAATTTTATTCATTTATTTTGTTTTTGAGACAGGGTCTCACTCTGTCGCCCGGGCTAGAGTGCCGTGGCGTCAGCCTTGCTCACAGCAACCTCAGACTCCTGGGCTTGAGCGATCCTCCTGCCTCAGCCTCCCGAGTAGCTGGGACTACAGGCATGCACAACCGTGCCCGGCTTATTTTTTCTATATAGATTTTTAGTTCTCTGGCTAATTTCTTTCTATTTTTTAGTAGAGACAGGGTCTCGCTCTTGCTCAGGCTGGTCTCAAACTCCTGAGCTCAAGCGATCCTCCCACCCCGGCCTCCCAGAGTGCTGGGATGACAGGTGCGAGCCACCGCGCCCAGCCGAAAATTTTATTTTTAATTGTCGGATAATAACCGAGAGTATTTATGGTGTAAGATGGGATGTTTTCATATAAGCACACACGGCGGAATGATTAAATGGAGTGAATTCACATATCCTCCACCCCGTCTACTTATTGTGTATGGTGACATCGTTTAAAATGATTGTTTAAAAAAAAAATGATTGTTTTATGGTCAATAATCTTGTTTTTTATTAAAAAGATAAGTTATATATAATACTAACTTTTCATTAAGAAAATTAAATGGCTGTTTTAGCAATTCGGAAATAGACGGCATGTTATTGTGACTATATCACCAAGCTCCGTCCTAAGTCCCTGGAACTTATTCCTCCTGTCAGTTGAAACTTAGAAACAAATCACCGTTCAACTCTTTGCTCTTACGAGTTTGACGTTTTTAGATTCCACGTGTAGATCATCTAAACACACGGTTTTAAGCACAATTGTGTTTTACTCAGTTTTCAGTTTTGCTCAGTGTCTAGAATAAATGCTTTTTAGCAATAAATTTATTTATTTTTTGAATAGAGCACATTTGATGTGCTAATATATTTGGAAATCCAGTTTAAAAAAACATACCCGATTCTATCCTGATTATCCTGCCGAATTTAATGCCCACCACTTTGAGAATTTTTTTTTTTTAAGTTTTATTAACAAGGTAGCATGTGTCGGGTTACAAAAAAAAATGTAAACGTTTATTGTAAAAAGTGCTTATTCCCAGAGAGTAAATACGACTGAAAGAACCAGATGGATGTCGGTCAACTTTGTTTAAAACCGGACACCTGCAAATGCCTATCTTTTCTTTCTGCCCATTTATTTTTTTGAAATCCACTTTTTACTTTTCTTGGTTTTTTTTCCTATTTTAAAAGTAAATCGATTTCTTTTTTATTTTAATTTTTATCTTTTTCTTTCACAATTCATTTTTCTGCCGTATGAAACCCATTTTTATTTATTTTTTATTTTTTTATTTTTATTTTTTTATTTTTTTTATTTTTTTTTGAGACAGAGTCTCGCTTTGTTGCCCAGGCTAGGGTGAGTGCCGTGGCGTCAGCCTAGCTCACAGCAACCTCAAACTCCTGGGCTCAAGCGATCCTCCTGCCTCAGCCTCTCGAGTAGCTGGGACTACAGGCATGCGCCACCATGCCCGGCTAATTTTTATATTATATATATTAGTTGGCCAATTAATTTCTTTCTATTTTTATGGTAGAGATG